TCCTTTTCTCTTTTCTTTCTTCTTTTTTTCTGTCTTTCCTCTCTCTTTCTTTCTCAATCTCTCACTCTCTCCCTCCCACTCTCTCTGAAAAGAACTAAAAAAAATATTGTCCAGTGAGAATTTTTTTAAAAAAATGAAGAATCCTTAATATTTACCTCAAACTGCAGAAGATTACCTGAACACAACAAAACATGAATCTTCTCCTCTGAGTATTTCTAAAGAGTACTGAATAATCACTCATCACATAATTCCTTCAGTGTCTCCTTCTTCCTACCTGTGCCATCCTAAAAACATTGCTCATGATAAAGAGGTTGCAGTGAGACATGATGCACACAAGGATGGAGGAAATTTAAGAGATCCCAACTGAGGCAGTAAGCCACTTTCCAGGTTATGGCTTCCAGTGATTAGTCAGTACTCTGTAGTAATGCTCAGAGGAGGCAATATGAGGTTTATAGTATTCAGGGGGCCTCCCACAGTGTGAGATACATAGGAGGGACTGTCCATTTTACTTTAAGAGTAGTGTACATGATAAACATTTTCAGATATATGTGTTTTTTCAAGCAAACATTATTTTCCTGCACAGGAAACAGGTACAGAATGTCCCTGTGGCAAGGCATTGAGACATGGAGCCACCCAGAGCCTGGAAAGAAAGGGACCGAAAAAGCAAGAGCATCAACTGTGTGTGTCTCTGTGTTGTCTTGGTTTGGGCCTTACAATTGGCTACCTGGGAATGACCAGTCCCTGTGAGGGCTGGGCTTGTACAGTTGCAGACGTGTGTAAGTTTTGGTTTGGGATGGTATGAGATGGCAGAATTCTTCCCTAGTGGTGCATGCTGAGGAAGAGAAAGAACTAAGAGGAAGTCCCCTGAATGGGATCTTCCTGTTTTGCAGAGGGAGATAAGGTAGTTCAAGGAAAGGGCCGTGGGAGGAAGGGCTTAAATGTCCAGGGCTTGGACCTAAAGTATGATGGATTTGCAAGTACCCTCCCTGTAGGGAGTCATCTCACAAACTGATAGCAGGAAACCAGATGAGAGATTTTGCAGTTTATTTCACAATTGAACCAAATGCCTTCTCTAGAAGTCTGAGCACACTGTATCTTGCTGAGAAAATCAGCCAAGGTCCAGGATTCCAAACCACATTTAGCAAGTGCTAAGGTGCATGGGTGGACTGTGGGGAAATGAGCCTAGGCTTGTGGGAAGGCAGTCAGCAAATTACATTAATCTGGGGACTAATCCCCTGCTGAAAGGGCAGATGACCACGGTGAAAAAAAGCAGAGTGCACCATAGCCCTCACACACCACACACGCATGCACACATGCACACACACAGAGACACAGGCATGCACATGAAGTGTTAGGCAATGTCTGAACCATGTTGTCCACAGTCAGCACCGCTTGGCCATTAGTGCCTGCACTTGTACATTTCCTTACATGGAAATGGCCTCCTGTCAACATGATTGTTTATTTACTGGGTTCATTCTGACCAAGTACTTCTTATGCAACTAAGTAATCCTTAAGCATTTTCAAGTCACTGGAACCTTAGGCGTTAGTGGGAGAAAGATTCGGAATGCAGAAAAGACAGAGAACAACACCAAAGGTAAACAGAGAATGACTGATCTACAGACAGTTAGAATGAGCCTATTTCTTGGCTGCTTTACTCCTGAGCATTCAACTCTGCCAGAAAGGAGGCTACAGTCCCTATAGCCACAGTCTTTCCCTTTGTCTGTAGCTTCAACATTAGATATGCTATATCTTGGGATAGCCTCTACTGCCCCAGACATTTGTTCCTGTGGATTTTACCAGCGGTCACTGTGGATCTGTGGGAAATGAATTCTGAAGTGGGAAATGTGATTAGATTTGAGGAGGATCCCAGAGGCAGAGAACCCCAGGAAAGCTGCCAAGGCGAGGACAGAGGGTGGGCTTCATGAGAAATGCTTGGCTGCTGGTGGGAGGCCTATACACTAGGGCAACCCTGTGGGCTGGAGCTATATAGGGTGACACGCACTGTAGTCTCAGTGATTAAAAGAGATGTTTCAGGAACCCACCAGCTAAGCAGATCAACAGGTGTGGCCAGTAGCATCTTTCATAGCACATGCCCACATGACAAGTCCCTGTGTGTATGCCCAGAGTGACAGCACGTAGCACAGCAAGGATCCGTATCTGGAGCTTGTGAAGGTGTAGGCACTGGACTCCACAGGCTCTTCAGTCCCTGTCTTACACCACTAGCTTCTTCAACCACTGTCGCCAGGGAACCTTAGCTAGTCAGTCTTTGTTTGGAGACAGTGGGGCTCTTCAGGCCACTTGTGTCATCTTAGTGCTGCCAGCAGGCCTTCAGGTGTGAGGATTCAAGAATGCATGCCAGCATCCCAAATGACGTCATTTGTAAGGAACACTTGCTATCAGGTAGACAAAGTTGAGACTGCATCACAGCATCCCCTATAAATCACGTATAAGATCAAGATGCCATTAGGTGGACACGTGTGAGAATACATTGCCAGATTTCCCAATAAAATCATTTGGCAGAAAAATGCTCTCACTTGGTGGAAAAACATTAGAATTCATTGCCAACATCTCCCAAAAAATTACTTGTGGGAAAGTCAGAAACTTGGTGGATAAGCATAAGAATGCCTTCCCAGTATCCCAAGTAACATAATTTATAAGGAAAAGTTGCCATGTGGTAGACAATGGTGAGGCTGCACTGACAGCATCACCATTAAAATCACTTATGAGATCTTGCTGCCAGTTGGTGGGCAAACTTTACAATGCATTGCCAGCATACATAATAAAATTATTTGGAAGAGAAATGATACCACCTGTTGGTGAGAATGCATTGTTGGCATCCCCAATAACATCACTGGTGAGATCATCCTGTCACCAGGTGGACAAGAGTAAGGATGCATTGCCAGCTGTCCCAATAACATCATGTGTAACAAGTGCTGCCAACTTTAGGACTACTGTTGGAGAGCTATGCCAGAATCACTATCATCTCTTTTAGTGGGAAGCAAACATACCATGGTACACTGTGTGGCCAGAGGATGCCGAGCACCTTAAGGCCTCCTAGTGGCAATAAGAGGATTCAAGGTGCCTGAGGAGCCCTGCTGTCTCCAAACAGATCCTGACTCCCTATGGGACCCTTGTCCTGAGCTGGGTGGTGCCTAGAAGAAGGGGTGCAGCATGGGGACTGAAGAGCCTGTGGAATCCACTGCACACTATCACCAGTGTCTCCATCTTGGTCCTCAGTTATGCTGTGCTTTCCAATATAGGCATATGCACATGAGTTTGTGATGGGAGCTCACAAAATGAAATCACTACTGGCCATGCCCATTGTGTTGTCTTGCCCCAAGTCTCCTGAAATATCTCTTGCAATCAGTGAGAAGACAGTAGGCATCACCGTCTACCTGCCACTCATTCTGCACCCTGATGGATCTTCCTGGCCCCCGGAGTCAAATATTCCTGAGGAAGCCAATCTTCTATTTCATATCTGTGGCTTTACTGGGTTCATCATCTGGTGGGCACGAGCTGTTTAGACTCAATTCTCATGACACTTCTGCACTACAGAGTTAGTTTTCTATATCACTTTTCAACTGATGCACAGTATCCCCTGGTAAAATAGACAGGGACATAAGTCATGGCATGTATTTGCCATCCCAGGATATGGGATATCTGTGGTCCAAGCTAGAGGCAATGTGAAGGACTCTGTTTATATGGGATGTTACCATCCATTCTTGCAGAGTGAATGCTCAGAAGAACAGAGGCCATAAATAGGGCTAATTCTGTCTCTTTGTTTATCAATCATCTTCTCTCTGTGTCCTATTTAGTTCCTTCTTGCTGTCTCTTGTTCACTTCTTTTCTACCCTCTCTGCCTTAGCATTTACTGAGCTATAGCCAGAAAAATCTTTATATGAATAAATATACCTCTCTACTTATTATGAAAATAGTATTGTAACAAGGAATAAAAACTATACTGCGCTGACTAACCATGAGCTGGAATTAGAATTACATGTACCAACGAAAAAATAATAGGAACTCAAATAGTGACAGTCTCTTTATAGTCTCTTTATAAGCCTGTTCTTGCTTGCACAAGAAACAGCTTGTTCTTGACTTTGGTTGATGCCAATCACTCAACAGTAGGAATTTTGCTAGCACTGATCAGTTCCAGTTTGGTGACATTACAACCCATATCAGAGCCAGCAAGGACACTACCTGAAGGTCCAAATCCACTCCTCCTGACCTCTTTTTTCTGCTTTCCATCACTTCCTTATAAAAACTGCTGGCTGCACTAAAATGTGGAGATCAGCTTTGGACAGGAGTCCCCCATTTTCTAAAGATACTGTCACATGAATAGACTTATCTCCTTTTTCACCAACATCTGTCTCTAGCGTCAGGCTTTCTTGGCTGCAGGCAGTCAAACTTCAGCTTCAGTTACACTGCTAGTTTACCTAGCCTGCCTATATTTCTGAATTGATACTGCAGTCAGGGAAAACCTCTAAAAAGCAAGCTTTATAAAGCAACCGCGCCCCAGCAGGCATGGGTCCCCCAATCCACTTCTGCCCACAATGCGTGACGAGCTAAGCCACCCACCCCGCAAAGAGGGTGCACGAGTTCACCAAAAACGAGCTTCTTCCCCATAGGGGCTCCCTACCCAGGATTCCTTCCCTTACCCAGCAGCCGCTGCAGGTCGCCCCGCGCCCACCCAGCCAGCCCTCATCCCAGCACAAAACCCGCCCACCTCACTCGCCTTCCTTCCCTGCCTCCGGGAGACACACTGGGGCAGAAAAGTAAAGGACGTCTTCGGGAGACACCCCCGCCCCTAAGGCCCGCAGGCCTCACACGCACTTTCCGGTTTATGCTCACACAGCGCCCTCCGCTCGTAGGCCCCTGAAAAAGCCTGACAGGAAATCAGAGTCTACATGACCGCGCCTCGCTACTCAGACGCCACGGCACAGCTGTGGCATGAATTTGTATGTTCTGCTCAACAGTCTGAATCCCTTACCTCGTTTTCCTCATGTTGTCCGAGGTCTTGGCTGAAAGCTCAGCTCAGAGACCGGAGCCAAACTACCGGCTGAGGCCGGCGACCAAAGAGATGTAAGGGGCCGAGAGTCCCGGATGTTATCGCGAGAAGAGCCCATAGGAAGGAGGGCAGAAGGGAGATACTCCCACTGCAGGCTGAGTACGAGAACCTGGTGAGGGAAAGGTTTCCAGAAATACAGACCGAATTTAGTTTTCTAAACCATTTCCCTAGTGCTCCCCATTTCCTTCTGTACAATACAGCTCGACAGCCTCCGCCGGGTCGCTGGATTGGTCGGACCCGGGTCCCACACCAAACAGGTTGTGGGTTCGAGACCTGGGCAGGTAACATACCTAGGGGATGGTTTTGATCTCTCTCAACCTGCTGGTCATGAAAGGTAACCCATCTATATTTCTCTCCCTCTCTCATATATATATGTGATAGAAAAATGTTTATATATATAT